TGATGACACACAGCTAGTTAACTAGCTTACATGCCAACACGCCAGCGATTGGCGAGTAAATTAGCCCGGTTTTCTATTTTTCAAGCAGCTTTTTTACAATCGGATTCTCAAAAGCAGATTGTAAAAAAGCTCAATGACACAGAGCGAGTTACAAGCTGCTCGCGAACTCGATGGCTTGTAGCTTATAAACTAGACCAGTGTCATCGAGCCTTTAGAATTATATATCTCTATGGCTCAAGTAGCCACAGCACAGACCACAGAGTACTTTTTTATAGTAGTTATAACTAGGGATGGTCGCTGATGTAGAAACATCGATGATGACATCGATGTTGACATCGACAGCTCAACATCGATGTTCGATGTTTATCCTACTCAAAACATCGATGTTGGCCATTATCGATGTTTTTTTGCACATATATTTAATAGGTTAGAATTAGATGAATAAAAAAATTGTCATTGTACACGCACCTAGTTGCCCAACTAAGGTCGACCATACAGGGGCCCATACAGCTGTTAGATTCGACGGACAGCTAAGTGTGGGGCTCAAATGCCTATGGATATTTAATATATATATGGATTATGTACTTAATGCGACTTACCTGGTTCAGAAGCGAAGACGGGCTACAAGGTTCGTTCAGACGTTAGGTGTAGTGAATGTAAGTAGTGTGTGAGAAGTGTATATATGTTTAACCTGAATTAGCCCTTTTAATCAGCAGCAACCCTGACTCCGGCACCGCCCCCCTATACCGTATCACTCCAGCGGCGTCACTCGGTGTCACTCAAAGTCTAGCGTCCCTTAGCACAAATCTATAATTTAATACGAACGCTATTTCTTGCGGGTCACAAAGTTTAGCGGTTTTAACCGACACAGGAAAATATCTCCTAGTTAAATCAAATGGCACAAAGCAACTCGTCGACACAAATTAATATTGTCAGAATGCACTTATACATGCAACCACTATACAACTTGACGCTAATTAATTGTAAGGGGGGGGGGGATGAGTCGCTCGCGTCCGTAGGCTTCGACCACCTAATCCTAGGCCCACCCTACACGTGTCCCCCGGGTGGTGCTAAACGAGCGACAAAGCCGAAACGACAGCCTCGGCTCCTCGCCGTATGGTAGCGGCATAAAATCTACCACCCCTTAGTTTCGCACCATGAGCCAAGAAGGAAAAGAAATGGCCCCGAGTTCCCGGCGCCCCTTTAATGGGGCAGGGGTGCGAAGAATCTCCGGGAGAAAAACCGGCGACGAGGTTCGCCACCCGTCACGTCCTGTCTCCCGGGGGGGCGAAAAGTGGATTGCGGAGGCCCGTCTGGCCACGCTGAATGTATGTGGAGCAATGAATGATAAGATGGATGAAGTATGCGAAATGATGAATGATAGAGGAATAGATGTGTTATGTGTAAACGAGACGAAACGAAAGGGAAGAGATGTCACTGCACATGGCATGTATACCGCTTACTGGTCTGGAGTAGACGAGACCGAGCGGGCATGCCAGGGAGTCGGTGTCATCCTTTCAGAAAGAATGGGTCAATGTGTGAAAGAGTATGAATGTGTTAGCCCAAGGCTGCTGTGGATACGAATGAAAGTGGGCTTAAAGAAGTTGTTTGTGCTAGGGGTGTACGCCCCAGATATGTCTAAGCTCACTTATATCCGAGAGCAGTTTTGGGACATGGTAAGGCTGGTGTTGATGAAATGTAAGGAAAATGAAAATATTATTATGTTAGGAGATTTTAATGGAAGGGTTGGGGTGAAGAGGTCTGGTTATGAAAGGATATTAGGAACGTTTGGCGATGAAAGAATAAATGAGAATGGTGAAGACCTCCTCACCGTATGTGTGGAAAAGAATCTTTTTGTGGCGAACACTTTCTTTCGCCATAAGAGGATTCACATGTATACATGGGAAAGAGGGGATGATAGAAGCATGATAGATTTTATAATTGTGGATGAAAGAATGAGGAGCGCAGTGGTAGATACAAGGGTTTACCGGGGGTCCAACGTAGGGACGGATCATTACTTGGTCTTATGCCGAATTAATGGTCTATTCAGACGTTGGCGGCATCGGACATCGGTGTCTACCACTGCGTTACAGCGTATAAGAATAGAGAGGTTACAAGATGAAGGTGTGAAAGAGAAGTATAAATGCAGATTGAGGGAAAATATAAGTGGGTTGAATGAATTATGTATGAATGATTTAGAATTGAAGAATGTATGGAATAATATTAAGAAAGTTTTGGTGGATGCAGCCACCGAAGTATGCGGTGTAAGTAAGAGAACGAATGAAAGGAAAAGTAATACCTTGTGGTGGGATGATGAGGTACGGATGGAAGTTGAAGCAAAGAAGAGAGCATGGCTAGATTTACTAGCAACTAAAGCTGGTAATTCTGGCGGTATGAATGATGAGATTGAAAGAAAAAAGGCAGACTTTAGACGTATAAATAAGAGAGTAAAAGAAGTTGTTGAAAGGAAAAAGCAAGGATAGATAAGAATGATAGAAGGATATCTGATAACTTCCAGGCAAATATTAAAATGTTCTGGAAGCTCGTAAGAACTGCCAGGGGAAATTCAAAACAGCCTAGAATAAATGCTATACGAGACGAGAATGGCTGCATGCTGAATGATGAAGTTTCGAATTTAAAGAGATGGAAGGAATACTTTGAAAGCGTGTTTAAGAGTGAAGAGTCGTCTGGTATAAGTGAAATAGAAATTCCGGAAGAAGTGGAGAGAGGTAGGGAGATAAGTGTAGATGAAATAATGAAAGCAATGAAAAGCATGAAAGCAGGTAAGGCAGCCGGATATGATAGAGTATCACTCGAAATGCTAAGGGCTGGTGAGGGTGTGGTTACAGGCCTGTTTAATTATGTTGGGAACTGAAACGGGTACCGGAAGACTGGTGCAAAGCCGTTATAGTCCCAATATATAAGGGAAAGGGGTCGCAGTGGGACTGTAAAAACTACCGTGGTATCAGCTTGCTTAGCATTGTGGGTAAACTGTATGCTAAGGTGTTATTTGAAAGAGTTATGGAAGAAACTGATGGAAAAATTTGGGATGTGCAAGCTGGATTTAGAAAGGGGATGGGGTGTACGGATCAAGTCTTTTCCATGCGCATGATAGTGGAGAAGTTTTTGGCTAAAAACCAGAAAATTTTTTGTGCGTTCATGGACTTGGAAAAGGCTTATGACAGAGTGGACAGGAATGTGTTATGGCAAACACTGAACTCATTTGGGTTGAGCGCTGGCTTGATACAGGCATTAAGATCTCTTTATAGGGACTCTAGTGCTTGTGTCAGGATCAACGGGGTCTACTCGGACTGGTTTGGCATTCATAATGGTGTCAGACAGGGATGTGTGGCTTCCCCGTGGCTGTTTAACTTATTTATGGACAGTTGTTTGCAAACTTTGAAAGTTGAAGAATGTGGGTTGAGAATGGGTGAGTCAACCGTCAAATGCCTTTTGTACGCCGATGATCAAGTCATATTTGCATCGTCGGCGGCCGAGTTGCAAATGATGGTTACTTTAATGAATTGGTCATTGAAAGAAATGGGTATGAAAGTGAACGCAAGTAAGACGAAAGTGATGGTTTTTGAAAGAGAAGAAAGTAAAACTTTATGTGAAATAAGAATAGAAGGGGAGTTGATTGAGCAAGTGGATGAGTTTGTATATTTGGGATGTTTATTTAGCAGGGATGGTAGATATGATAAGGATATAGAACGACGAGTGAACGCAGGAAATAGAGTGAATGGGGCTCTACACGCTATTATGAGGAGTCAGAATGTGTCAACTAAGGCACGTATGGCAATTCATAATGCTGTGTTAGTCCCTACTTTAATGTATGGTAGTGAAAGTTGGGTCTGGCAGAAGAAGCATGAGAGTAGAATAAATGCTGTAGAAATGCGTTCCTTAAGGAGTATGCTAGGGCTGAACCTGAATGACAGGGTGAGGAATAGTGTGATAAGAGAAAAGTGTGGTTTGCAAGATGATGTTTTGACAAGGATTAAGAAAGGAATGCTTCGGTGGTTTGGTCATGTAGAAAGAATGAACGAGGAAAGAGTGACAAAGCAAATTTATGTTGCGGAAGTGAACGGCAGGGTCGGGAAGGGACGCCCTAGACGAAGGTTTATCGACCAAATCGGCGATACGTTAAAAATGGGCCAGATTAGGAGTACCCATAACCGACGAGCGTGTATGCGTAGATATATGGATGTAAAAGAGGCGAGAGAGGTGTGTCAGGATCGCGCCAAATGGAAGTCCGTAGTCTCTGCCTACCCCTCTGGGTGACAGGCGTGAGTGTTTATGTATATGTATGTTATGTAATTGTAAGGACGTTAGTTAATCGCTCAAAACTCAAAATTCAGCCTCGTTGACACGTAGAACAAACAAAAAAAAGACAACGCGAATGAGAGGCACTTAAATCGACGTTATAATTCCACTCGCGCCCGTTACGACCGATATTTCCTCACACTGATTCTCTCGACATGTCCCGTTCGACACGACTTCGAATGGAATACAAGCGTGCGGAGGGGCAGCGGTGACCTTGCTACGGTGCTATGCACGCTCCAATCGTGCATTATTAATTCAATTTTCAAACGGTTAATTTTGCCTAAACAAATCCCCGCCCTGGACATAAGGACTTATGTCCGCGATTTTTAAAACAACCGATAAAGAAGCATATAACCAATAACGACACTAATAACAAACGAAATCAGTGACAACTGCGACATTACAGTTGACACTTGACAGTTAAATTTGATACCCCATAATGATATATTTTTAGGTTATCGATGCGTTCAAGCATTCTGAATTATTCAAAATTTTATATATTTTAGAGGAGATGCAAGATTTAGTTGATATTGATTTCGCGGATTCGCAAGTACCCAATAATCGATTATGTGTTTATTGACATCGATGTTTCGATGTTTGACATGTGGCAACATCGATGTTACAACATCGATATTTTCATTCTTGACATCGATGATCATCGACCATCCCTAGTTATAACCATAGATAAGAGTGTATATATGGAAATATAACATTTTGAGGTTATTTCACCTAAAAAAATACTTTCTTTGAATATCTTTGAATTAATGCGATATATTTTTAAGTTTTAAATGTTTCAATAAAGTAAATTTTAACTTATATTTTGTAATTATGACTACTTTCTCAAGACTTCATAAAATTGCTCTTTTAAGTTTAGGCGCTGTTGGTGGTAGTTTAGCATATTACACTATTGGTAAATCCGAAAAGAAATTTGATGTGCAGAATTCTTGGACTGTAAATTATACTCCCAGTGTACAATGGGAGAAGAATTGGGACCAGTAAGTTATTTAAGCTCCTTTCATTCTTCAGAAGAATCTCGTAAATAAGTGACCTACTTGTAAACATACACTTTTCACTTCTTCATACATGAAATCTTCCCCCTCCTCCTGCTCCGATCTCAACCTGATATCAAGGCGACTAATTTATTTTTAAAGTATAACTAGATTCTTCAGATTCAACGTCAATGGCGAGTACATCACTCACCTTCGATTTGCCGACGATATAGTTCTTATGGCAGAATCGCTGGAGGACCTAAGCACTATGTTCAATGACCTCAATAGTGTCTCCCAATGGATAGGTCTTAAGATGAACATGGACGAAACAAAAATCATGTTTAACGTCCATGTCACACCTATGCTGGTAGTTGTTGGGAGTACTTAGCTCGAAGATGTTGACAAATATGTCTACCTGGGACAAATAATCCCACTAGGCAAGTCCAACTTCGACCGAGAGGTCAATCAACAGATTCAACTCGGCTGGGCAGCGTTCGAGAGATTACGACACATCTTATCGTTAGACATACCTCAGAACCTTAAAAGTAGATTGTTCAACCAGTGCGTGTTACCAGTGATGATCTATGGATCTGAGACGTGGTCCTTCATTGCTGGCCGTATGAGGAAGCTCAAAGTCGCTCAGTTAGCTATGGAAAGAGGTATGTTCGGCGTTTCTCTGCATGATAGACTTAAATACGAGGATATCCGCAGTAGAATCAGAGTAACCGACATAGCTCAAAGAATTAGTATGCTGAAGTGGCAATGGGCCGGCCCTATAGCTTGAAGAACCGACAAGCGATAGGGAAGAAAGGTTCTCGAGTGGCAGCCATGTACCAGCAGGCGAAGTGTAGGGTTTCCCCCCACTAGATGGAGTGACGACCTGGTAAGACATGCAGGAAATTGATGGATGCAGGTGGCTCAGGACTGTGCTTTGTGGCATTCCTTGGAGGGGAGGCCTATGTTCAGCAGTGGACTTGTGTGATTCTCATAGCTGATTATTAATATGAAATTTTAATGTATAAAAAACCTACTATAAGTTTTCGTGAAGGGGGAAGTGCAGCAAGGGTCATCTTCCCCTCTGCACACCTCACTCGTGCTGCATATAAGCAATTCCAATTGAACTGTTTAATCCAGTACTCAATGTTATTATTACAAGAATGCTGAAATGTAGTAGAAATATGTAGAAATAAGGTGTAGTAGGTCATAATAACTTGATCATTTTGATCATTCTTCCATCATGGATTATCATAGACCACACTACAGTATATTGAATATTTATTATAATTTATTTTTATTTTTAATTTGTATTATACCTACTTATATACAATAATCTTATTTGTATTATAGTGGGTAAGTGTAAATATGTTTGTATATAATTTATTGTACACCACAAAACGTGGAAAAACAGATTTCAGGAAGAAAACCAACCTATTTCCTTTTAGGCAACCTATTTCCTACAGTACGGATACAGTAAGGATAAGGTGGTCTAAACTAAATCTTAAGATTAAGGAAAATATGGATTAATAAATTCATAATTACAGAAATTAATTACATGCATGCACAGCAAAGTCAGCAAATAGCATACAACACACACATCGAAAGAACCAAAAATGTCACCATAAGTGGGTCTTGCGTCATAAGTAATAGAGAACAATTCAATCATGCGAAGTGTGGAGAGAGAACTCGCCTAGGAAACCAGCAAAATGCAAGTTTATAGAGAAAAACGAGAATCAATCATGTACGTGGGTTGAGTCAATCAATCGTGATTGACAAAGACCTAGTAATGATTAAGGCAAATTTTTCTCTACAATGAGAAAAATTTAAAAGCACATATCGATCAGAAGGCTGTTATGAGGTTTATCTCGTTCATGCATCTCACTAGATTCACTTACCCAATCTTTAGTTTTATTTATACATAAACTTGCATATTACATTGGAATTTTGCTTATATTATTTTAGTCGGGAACCTCAGTCTATTGTACAACCAGTATTGCGTTCTAAACCAGAAGATGAAAATAGATATAATGAACAAATTGAAAAGGCGAAAAGTAAAGCTGTTCGACACTTATTTCTTATCAGACATGGACAATATAATATTGAAGGAACTACAGACAAAGAGAGAGTCTTAACCGATTTAGGTAATATTCTTTCATATTTTTTCAAGCATTATTATCATTTATGCCAGCCTGTTGAATATAATTAATAACTATTTTTTTCTCGCCAAATTATATACAATCACAGCCAACGTCAAACAGTCCGTATCTTCTCCAGTTATCTCTGAAATAAAGAAATAATATGTAACTTAAGGAAAAATATTGAGTAATATATAATAGGTATACAAAATTACCCTCCTTATGTCTCTATTGTAGTAAGAAAGCAAAAAAAAATTCTCAAATGTTGTGTATTGTGAAAAATATCCAAATTATATGAATGAGGTAAACTAATATAAAGTGTGTTCTTATATAGATTAGTTTTATGTGATTGTATTCTGAAGTGTTTACTGACACAGTGTGATGTTTTCTGGGCAATCATTCATACTGTTACAGTCTATTAAAGTCTACTGCTGAACATAGGCCACCTCCATAGATTATCTCATAAGGAGGATATTTGCCATAGTTGCCACACTTGGCTGTGGGTTGGTACCGTTGGAACCGTAGATTTTTATTTTTAGCTGTTATTAGGAAGACACTGCTACTCATCTCCTATTTGTTTTCCTCTGTCGCCTCTTACTACACCCACGGAATTATGGGATATTTTTACATTGTCACAACACAGTATTTGTTATCAATTATATTATTACACTAGCTGTTCCCCACAACTTTGCCCGCATTCAATTTAGGGTTTTAATTTATTTTGCGTGGAACCCTAATTTTTTTTTTCAAATAAAAGTAGCCTAAATGTGGCTACTGACCTGCCTGCCGCAGGGGCAATCTAGGGTGTAGGAGTGGGGATGACCCTTAATTGCCTCCTTAATTGTGATGTGTGTAGGCAAGCAAGGGCAATTTTTTAAGTCGGCCCTGCGGCCTTCGATATTGCTCCGATCACTGTGCTCCCTAGATTGCCCCTGCGGCAGGCAGGTCAGTAGCCGCCTTAAGTTATGCTTTATAACATAAGCTATCTGTCAGTGAAAGTCCCGTCAAAATCGGTCTTGCCGTTTTGGAGATTAGCCGGAACAAACAGACAGACAAAAATTTAAAAAATTGCGTTTTTGTTATAAGTACCGTATACACTTTCATATGTATTTAGTAAAAAGCTGTTATTTTGATATTACAAACAGACACTTCAACTTTATTTATTTGTATAGTAATAATATTATTACATCATTTGTAAAGTAAGGAAAGGTCCATTATATTCTACTTATGACTGTAAGCAATTTTTTTTGTTTTAGTTGTAAAGCAAAAACAGTTAAATATCTTTTTGTATTCTCTAAGCTCTATTGTGATGTATCTCAGAAGGGCCATCAAGCCTGCAAACAGTATTCTAAAAACTTCAGACTATATAATTCTAAAGATATATTTTAATGCTGATATTGCTAAATGTTTTTGAATTTCTTAAAATAAATCTCATTTTAGAAGTTTGATTAGGATATTATTCAAAAGTGTATTTAAAGTCAGTTTACTATCCGTCAATACCCTTGGATCATGTTTGCTACAAATCTGTTTAAGTGCAGTTGAACATCCACTCTCACCCTATTATTATTTTAATATCTCTTACACTATTATTATATAGTATAATAACGTAATATATTTCTAAAAATATAAATTATAGGTAGAATTCAGGCAGATCTGACTGGGAAAAGACTCGCGTCTTTAGATATAAAGTGGGATTTACTCGTGCGGTCAACAATGACGCGAGCCCAAGAGACAGCGTCGATAATAGCCAAGCATCTACCTCAAGATTTACAAATAAAAGACTGTCAACTTATTGAAGAAGGTGCACCCATTCCACCCGAGCCACCAGTTGGTCACTGGGCACCTGAACCAAAAGTAAGTTTTACATCATGATCACATACAACATCATCATAAAATTAAAATTATTGAACCAGTTTTGAATTTTGAGGTCATTTTTAGGGTTTCGTACCCAAAGGCTCCTTAAACGGGACCTTATTACTAAGCCTTTGCTGTCCATCTGTCTGTCAGCAGGCTGTATCTCATGATCCGTAATCAGTATACAGTTGAAATGTTCACAGAATATGTATTTCTGTTGCCACTATAACAACAAATAATAAAAATTAAAATAAATTAAAAATTAATAGGGGCTCCCCTAATAGAAACGTGTATTACGATGGTATGGAACCCTTCATGGTTATTCTTTGTTCGCATTTCGCCAGTTATTCTTTTATATTCTGAGCTTGTTGTTATTTTATTAGCTGTGTGACTTTGGACTTAATCACATATTTTTATGTGTACCCTCTAAAAACCAATTCAATAAAAAGGTAGTTTAACAAAATGGAATATATACATTCCATAATGCATACATTGGTTCGTATTTTATGCACTTTATGCAAGTAACTTTGTCAACTTATTGCTTGCACTTGTGTGAAGGTTATAGGTTATAGGCGTAGTACAATTAACTCACACTAGATGACGCGTGTATCGTACCGACAAATGTATTTGAATTTTGAAAGTCATTCAATTTCATTTGCATTCAATTTCAATTAATCACTTCTAATTAAGCAATATAGGTAACTCTTCCAAATTTAAAACCATATTTCCTTTTAGGCATTAAGTAGTACTAGAGATTGACACTCTTCATTAAAAATTATATGTAGTCATTAGTAATAAAATAAAATACATTATTCTACAGTATTATAATATTATAGTTCTATGATATAACATATATTATATGCAAAATTTCATGAACATTTTTCTTGCAAAACAATTTATGAAAATGCTTAATTTTTATAATTTGGAATTATAACACTATGCACTATTAATATGATACAATTTCTTTTATGTTGATACATTATTCGTGTCATAAAATGATGTATTAAAACTATTATGTTCTGTTTACATAAATTGTTTTTGCAAAATAACTTCATTTTTAAAATGACAGCCCAGTTTGCATACCTTACGCCGTTTAGATTAGTTTGGGGTTTTACTAGCAAGATAACTTACTAACAGTTTAGTGGCATGCAATAATTAATACAAGATCATCATATGTAACATCTTTAGTAAAACAGTCATGTAGTTTCCATATAATATATATATATATAAATATTCTTGCATTTTCTAAAAAATCAAAAAATATAATTAAATTTCCTGTTTGTAATCTTAACATATTTACATGATAGTTTACTCATCTGTTTCAAATACAACAATAACTTTTTTGTGTAATTGTTCTTTGACTGATCCAGACTTAATTATAAGACTAGGTACTCAAAGTATTTTTATACAACATAGATATCAATTCTAAGATCAATGATTTTTGTTATGTTTTAAAGGGTATTCTTAGTTTACGGTATAACTTAAAGAATAATTGGACATTTTTAAAGACATTAAGGAATTCTTTCCATGACCAAAAGCTCCAGATAGTAGGGCTATAGCAATGCTGGGTAGTCATTAATGGAGTATGGTTGGCACCTGTAGCAGTTCTTCCAGGACGGGGCACGAATAGAGGCTGCCTTTCGGCGTTACTTCTACAGGGCCCCACCCGACCAGACAAAGGACTCTTTCACAATTCTTGTGTGTCATGCGAACGTCATAAGATTCTTTGTTTGCAAGTAAGTAATTTTTTTTTAATTTTTTTTTTATTAAGGACAACAAAAAGTTGTTTAATAAAAATTACATTTCGAACCTTATGTAAATAGATTAGCTAATTACACAACTAACACCGTTATCCACAAAATTACTGTACTAATTAAAACTTAAAAGGCACAGAGAAAATAAGAGGCTACAATGCATACTTAGCATGCATAACTACATGTATTACCTGGAAAAACAATTTTGATTAACGTTATAAGATTAGAAGAAAAGAAAAAGGAAAATTACAAGTCATTCAATACAAATTTTATAGCATTTCTCAATTGAGGTAGTGACATAGTAAATAAGTCTACATCGGAGAAGCTGTTATCATACAGTTCCATTATGCGATGCAAAGCATGCTTGCACACACATTAATACTATTAAGATTGTTGTTTTTCTTTTCTCTTTACTTATTTTTTTTTTTCAAGTTTTAAAATGATCAAACTTAGATGGAAGAGATATGTTAAAGAATTAAATCATCGTACTCAACATAAAAAAACCAATTTCGAGGAATCTTGCGATCACCATAACTTACTGTAGTTATAAGACCGACGTCTGTAGTAATAAAATTGATAGTCCTGAATTGACAAATCAATTCCTACAATTTAATACTTCTTCGAAGTGTACCAGACACACACCTCTATTTAATGTTCTATTAAGTCGCTCTAAATATGCGCAACATTCTGTCATTAGTACACTTACTGCTACAATAAAAACTTTTCATTTATTGATATTTTTCACGACAGTAAAGAAATAATGTCAATTGTAAGAAATAAGACGTAATCTAATATATAAAAATAAATTTTTGTTTGTTCGTATTTTATGTGCTGCCATACTGTTCATCAGATTGCGCTAAAATTTTCTCAACTTATTGCTTGTACTTGCGCCAAGGTTATAGGCTTAGTGCAAATAAATTAAAGTAGGTGGCGCGTACATATTTATTTGAATGTCATAATATGTCAATCAATTTTAATTAATGTATTATGTATCATTCCTAATTAGATAATATAACCCTTCCAAATTTAAATCGATATTTCCACAAATATTTATTTAGCGGCAGCACCGCGCCGAGTACCAGCTTGTAAACAATATTATTACAATAAATCACATACAGACATGCCACACCTCTTCACATCCTTCCCTATACTACCTACACTGCACTATAAACACTTCACTATCTACATCTCAAAATCACACATACACACTTAACCATTTATTTAAACAACAACACACTATTAGATATACATATATGCACTGTCTTAAGTTTTTTTTTTATCGTCTTTAAAAAACGTTACCCCCACACTAGGATTTTCTCCTGTATCGTGGAGGCAGTTTACAAACACAAATTTCACAAGGACAAACATCCAGACCCGGAACAATTATTTGTAGTCCATACAAATACTTGTTCCGTGCGGGATTCGAACCCACGCCCCCCAGCGCAGCAACTCATTGCTAAGCCCCTGCGCCACGGAGCCGTCTGTGTAACTGTTTGTAAAATATGTACCTTAAAATACCCTTAAATATCTTCAAATATGTTAATTGTTTAATGTTACTTATATATTATGTCCACACAGTTGTAGCGATATGTTATAAGATATTTTTTTATATAAAGTAAGAACCATAGAAATATAGAAAATGTAAATATTTACAAAGGTTATAATGTTACTAAATGCCGTTGGTTCTGTACACAATAAATAATAAAAATAAACTATTGGTAAAACCAATTGAGCATGCCTTCGCATTAAAAAATTACGTATAACATGATTATACGGATTTTTTTTAAAGTAGTTTAAATACACACAAATTTTCACTAATAACCTTATTATACTTCCAATTTTCCGATAATTTTATGTCAAACTTCAATTTGATAAAGTTTGGAAAATCCAAAGTGCACGACTCATAATGCTCATATGATCATCATATCATCATTCATGTCACTCAAAAAAGTCCAAGACGTATTCAAGTATAAATATTACATACTATTTACTTTTAGTACGTACTACTATTATTTATTCTGTGCTTTTAAAATATTATAATAAAATCTCTGATTATTATAATAATCAAGTATGTATGAAATTTGTTTTTCGAATATTTTGTATTTATTTGTACAGCGATCTTTTTGAGCCGCTGCAAACAACCAATACAGTAGACATGCGCGCCGAGCAAGAATTCGGCGGCGGCGGCGCGCCGACCCATTGTGGTCGGCGTGGCGACGCCGCGCCGGCGCGGCCGTATTTTATTTTAATTTTTATAAACATTTATTTAAAATAAGGTAGTAACAAGTGAAACATAGACCTGGATAGGAATTCAAATTTAATTTCTCAAAATAAAAACAAACCAAACAAGTTCTAATTAATTATACCTTATAATTTGTGCAAAAACGAAAAAGCACATTTTTTTGTTTCTTGCACAAACTATAGGAAATTAAAATTGTGTTTTTTGCACAATGTATAATTATCATTAATAAAAATAATTTTATTAACGTGTACTGGGCTTAGTCTAGATCTTTTAGCAGTCACAGTTAGTCCCACTATAGAAAAAACGCGCTCACTAGGCGTGCTAGTAGCAAATGTTCTGATCACAGAGTACTTTTTATATACATACTGAAAGTTCTGATACGCGCTCCAGAGACTGTAAAAATTTCATTTGTTCTATTTCCGCCGCTCGCTTCAATTCCGGTAAGCGATACCGAACGATTTTTACGATCTTTTTACATTTTTTTATTGATTTTTGAATTTTTAAATAATTGCATGGTTTTATTGACCCCGCGCCCACGCGCCCGTCCCGCGTTGGTTCACGGCGCGCCGATCGGATTTGTCGGCGCGGCGCGGCGTGGGCAGGGCGCGGCGTGGCGCGGCGGCGCCGGCGCGGCGCGCATGTCTACAATACAGTACCCACTCACAACGGCGGTTGACGCCGAACTAAGCGAGCGAGTGAGCGAGGCACAGGCAGTCTCTATTTACTGAATTAAATTCTAACACAAGGCTGCGAAATCACCGAAAATTTCGCCATTTTGGAGGCGAAAAAAAATAATTATAGCTAAACAAAACAAAATGACACTGCCATTTACATTCAGTGGCTTCTCACATGATAGATGAAAAGATTAAGAAATAGATTGAGTTAAACAATTGATATTTTCAAAAGTTATCGTGTTTACAAGCCTTGAGGACTTAATAAATCTACACCATAAGCCTCTAAAACGCCTTTTTTATGTAAAAATAGCAATTATACGATTAAAAAAAAATATAAGTTCAACAATCATTTATCTTTCTGACAATGTGCTTTTTATATCATTTAATAGTATAATATGATTGCTGGATACGACTTCATGCGACAAAACGTTGGAATCTTGATTTTTAGGCGCTAGTAGAACATACCTATGCGCTTTGCGCTCGGCATGCAAAAAAAAGAAAGAGAATATGCGATTTTAATAATATTACTTTTTTAGTGAAGGTGATAGATTTACATTTACAATAGGAAGATAAACGATCCATGTCATCTTGAAGTAAAACACATTATAAGATAAGACTTAAGCCTAGTTGTTTCTATAATAATGTTAAACTGATAAGAATTCTGGTTTCATAACTTTATTTGATAAAAGTTAAAGCTGCAGTATTCAGCAGATTTGACAGCATACAGGTAACTGAACAGACAGATCTACAAATGCATGCGGGGAGACTTACGCAACTTTAATACTGTTTGAATTAAAGAAGCGATTGAGCGGAACCAGGGCTCCAAAGTCTTTGCCAGAGATCTGTCTGCCAGAAAGAGCCAACTGTCAAAGCTGAAGATTGAATGTGGCAGCATCATTTCCGGGACACCTGAGATTTTGAGTGAGATTGAGAGATTCTATGGGCAGTTGTACACATGATCGTTGAGCCACACGCAAGTGTGAATAACGATCCGAGAGCAAGTCTCATCAGACACTATTCCGATGATATTCCGGACGTCAGTCTGAGCGAGATTAGAATGGCTCTCCAGCACCTTAAAAAGGGCAAATCGCCGGGTGAGGTTGGAATTACAGCAGAGCTTGCAAATCGGTACTTAAAGTCCTTCAGAAGCTCTTTAATTCCGTCCTCCATGGTGGCACTACTCCGGAGGCGTGAAGCAGAAGTGCGGTGGTCTTGTTCTTCAAGAAAGGCGACAACGCTCTCTTGAAGAACTACAGACCGATATCCCTTCTGAGCCGCGTCTACGTGCTGTTTTCAACAGTCGTTATGAATCGTCTCGCACGCTGACTCGACGACTTCCAGCCTCCCGAACAAGCAGGTTTCCAAACAGACTTTAGCACCATAGACCACATACATACCCTTTAGCAAATTGTACAGGAGACCGAGGAGTACAATTTGTCCCTATGCCTTGCGTATGTGGACTATGAAAAAGTTTTGATTCCGTCATAATTTGCGTTCAGCGGTGCCAAGTTGACTGTCGGTATATCGAAGTGCTGAAGTGTTTGTACAGTAGGGCTACGATGGCTATCCGAGTACACAACCAGAGTACGAAACCTATCCAACTGCAGAGAGGTGTAAGACAGGGTGACGTTATATCCCCGAAACTCTTCACCTCTGCATTGGAAGACGTTTTCATGCTACTAGACTGGAAAGAATACGGTATTAACATCAATGGCGAATACATCACTCACCTTCAATTTGCTGACGATATAGTCCTTATGGCAGAATCGCTGGAGGACGTAAGCACTATGCTCAATGACTTCAATAGTGCCTCTCAACGGATAGTTCTTAAGATGAACATGGACAAAACAAAGAGCATGTGTAACGTCTATGTCACACCTATGCCGGTAGTTGTTGGGAGCACTAAACTCGAATTTGTTGACGAGTATGTTTACCTGGGACAAATAGTCTGACTAAGCAAGTCCAACTTCGACCGTGAGGTCAATCGACGGATTCAACTCGGCTGGGCAGCGTTCAGAAAATTACGACACATCTTCTTGTCAGGTATACCTCAAAACTTGAAGACGAGAGTGTACAACCATTGCGTGTTGCCAGTGATGACTTATGGATCTGAGACGTGGTCCTTCACTGCTGGCTGTATGAGGAAGCTCAAGGTTGCTCAGCGAGCTATGGAGAGGGCTATGCGCGGGGTTTCTCTGCGTGATAAACTTAGAAATGAGGATATCCGCAGTAGAACCAGAGTAACTGACATAGCCCAACGGATTAGTTAGCTGAAATGGCAATGGGCCGGCCATATAGCTCGAAGAACCGACAACCGATGGAGGGAAAAGGTTCTCGAGTGGCAGCCTCGTATCGGTAGGCGAAGTGTAAAGTAAGTGTAGAGTGACCCCCCCCCCCCCTCCCCTAGATGGAGTGACGACCTGGTAAGACGTTGTTGGAGGAAGTTGATGGATGCAGGTGACTCAAGGCGGTGCTTTGTGGCATTCCTTGGGGGTGACCTATGTTCAACAGTGGCCGTGTGAAGGGCTGTAATGATGATGATTCATATTAGTAAAAGTAAGAACAGAGCCAAGGTTAAAAGGGTAAGACAGCCAGTATAATTATAACTTGCAGGCCATTTCATCTTAGTCTCAGAGGTGACATCTCACCTGTGGTCTTTGCCCACATTTTGCCACCATATGGTCGGTTACCTCATTTGTCACTTATATTATCTAGGTTTATTTTTCTCAGAATAACTACACTGAACTTTTAAATCTTCATATGTTGACGGGCAAAAAATGCATAGCATTAAACCCGTCCTTTGTATCCTTTTTGGTTTGGTAAATACAACAAAAATTACTTGTTTTCTGGTCATTGGAGCAGATGTTCTAAAAAGTTAACCACCAACAAAGATTTTACGATGTGTAGTTACTTCAACATCAAGCAAGTTCTGAATAGACAATAAAAAATTGAAATAATTTCTGTGATGCTGGTACCAGGGATCATTCGAAGTCTGTAATGATGATGATGATGGTATAAGGTATACCATCATCATAGGCTATATGCCTCTCCCTATTTTCAGCAGTAGACTTCCCTCTTTACTAGTGGGACCCCTTGCCCTGTTGTACGATGCTACCACTGGAGAACCTTTCTTATCTATCAGTTGTTGGTTCTTGAATGGCCAAACCATTGCCAGTACAGCTTACTGATGACTTGTTCATTATTCCGGTGCTACTGCGGACATCCTCTGAGGTCGGTTATGTAGTGCTATTAAATATAGGCTTTCATTTCCTATACTGGGCGGTAAGGCTCCTAGAATTCATATATTAGGTAGGTACCATATCCACTGCTGTTTTCCGATTTGAGTGGTATTAAATGCCATTACAACTTAAGGATTTTGAGGCTGTTCTTCTTAGTCCAATTACCTGAAGCCTTCCTTGCTTAAAGTTGATTACGGGAGCCGTTTATGCTCAGATGGTCTGCTAGCTCGTTTATTATAATAAAATCTTTTTTTAATTTATTTCAGGGCTCTCCAGTTTCCACCCGAAGGATGGCTTCGTATATCACTTAACCATGGATCGATAACTTGGGTGTCAATTTTACCCAATGGCAATGTAGTGTTACGGGCTCTAAGTGACACGGGTCACATGGACCCCAAGTACATCACAAGCCGGTAAACGTAAACTAATTACTGTAGACTAGACTAATTGTGTTGATAGATATCAAAAACGCCCAAGTGACGTTTAACTATTTTTCGGATAATGATGTTCTTTTCTAGTTGGAAGTTTTAGCTATTAAAAAGTTGTGATTATTATTTTTTGATATGAATATTAAGCCTGGCAACACCGTATATAAAAAGCATAATAAGTACACAATGTAAATATTTATTTTCGATGATTTTTATCAGGATTTAGGCGCATATGATATAATACTTATGGACTTGTCGATATTGAAAAATAGGGCACTAGACTTGGGAGAGTTTGAAATATTACAATAGGACTTAGGCGAGTTTGATTTGACTTAATAATTAGGGTACGGACTCAGGAAATTAAAATGCAATATTACCATTAAAATATTTTTATTCTTAAAAAATTAACTAAAACATGAAAAACTATAAATATGTAAATTTGTCGTTTTTTGCTTATTTAGATTATGACTATAAATGAGGTTAGAATCACAGTTTTGCCTTACATACTGATCATGAAAATATTGAAATTAAATCAAGAACAATAAAATCAAATATCTCCTCAGGAATACAGTCATCCTCTTCACAGTCCGCAGTTTCAGCATCATGCCCGGCTAGAGCTTGAACCTTTTTAAAATAACTCCGGAATTTCTGGCAACTGCTCACCGAAGTGTTTTTTTTAATAGTTTATTAACATCGTCAAGCTTCTCTTGTTTGATGGTGACACTGATTTATTCTGTTAGGTAACATTCGTGATATTTTTTTACCTTTTTTTGTAATGGGTAAAAGTTGACTTATATCATTTCTGTATGACACTTCACCACATACTAGATACCAGTTATTTGGAAGTGCAGGCTCTGAGTGTTTTTAAGCACATTCTTGTATGCTTCTTTCCAATCAAATACAGGCACTTGATCAACAACATGGTAGATGGTAGCATTAGATGACATCAAATTAATATAGTCGTTTGGATTTAAAATGTTTTCTAGGCGACGAATTTTTTTTTTCGATATTTGAAAACACTGTCAGGAGGAATAAAGCTATAACCCTTTACTGGGAAAATTATCTCAACTTTGGATATATCGTTTTGTGTCTCGTATAGCCATTTCGAAACCATCCCAGTCAAAATGGAGTTTTTGTTTTGGCCACCACAGCCATCGGCCACAAGCCTGACAGTTTTTTTCCCCTCCATATTTAAACTTTTAAGCAGTGATAGACGCAAAATGCTATTTCGTTGGAGTTTTTTGGTGCCTTGTCCTCAGTCCAAACATAAGAGAAGATATTTTCATGAGTTACATTTCTCTTTGAATTGCCTACAACAATTGTAAAATTATAAATGTATATGGTATCCTGGGCATAGGTAGATTTTTTGACAGTCAAATGAAAGTATAAGTATATCCGGATCTTCATCTTTCAAAAGCTGAAAAAAAGCATTTCACTCTCATTTTATGGATTCTGTATTGTGCACGTATGTTTCCTTATGTTTCCTTTTCAATGCCATTTGGGCATCTTTTCATTTATTCTAAAAGTTGAAGGCAATCGGAGCAAATATCTTATCGAGATGTTCCAAAATCTTATGTTAAAAAATGTATTGAATACCTTTCTCATTTTTTTTATAGGATAAGGGTGACAAACGAGCACACAGTACACCTGATGGTAAGTGGTTGCTGTGGTCCATAGACATCTACATTTATCCTCGATTACGAATCAAAATGCAGATGCGTTGTCAGCCGTGAGGACTAAGATGGAATGCCTCGTTTCCAGTAAAAAGGGATTTGGTTACCGAGAATCCGCTTGTGGCTCGTCATACATTTTGTACATCTTAGTAATATTAAGACTTGGGTCTAAATAAAAAAAATTCTCCGGACCGGTGCTGGATTTAGGCGAGTTTGATATCTATCGACACAATTAGTACAATGTAAGAAATTGTAAAAAAATAGTTAATTATTATAGTTGGGTCGTGTCAGTTGAAGGCATTTTTATTTGCACAAAATAAATTTGCTCGACTTGGAAGTAAGTTTATGCGGTGTCAATATTTAAAAAATGTGATAGTTTTTTTTTTTATTTATATTTCTATGAACGTGAACAAAATAATTACTTTTTACCTAATGTTTGTATAGATTTGGGTTTATAAATCGAAGCTATTTTGCGTGATAACCTAATTAAAGCGGTCATTAAATCAATTTCTCTTGTTGCATTATTGTAATAATGTTTCAACTAAAATACCATTTTACGTATTGTTGATTTTATTCGTAATAATAAAATATATATTTTCCTATCGTAGTAATCGATTTTTACATATTTCAGCTTTAAGCCCCGCATTTATTTGTCGACATAAAATTAATTGAATGTATTATTATGTTATTAACAAACACTATTTTATTATGGATTAGAAATGATAGCGAATAAAATTAGTATGTGTTCAATACTTTTTGCATTACAAATGTTAATCTATTTAATTTGTTGACTTTGATATATTACTTTAATAATATTTACACGTTTTATATACGTACATAGTATTTGTTTTCCAGTAATAATAATGTTTATGACTATAATATGCCTATGAGGTTACAAAACGTTACAAAACGAATTGTTAACGTTCATTGAATAAAACTACTTTTACGTATTTTATCACATTTAATTAACTTGTTTTTTCTTATTTTTATTAATTGATCCGATCTACGCAAAAAAAAATTAATAATGAAAAAAGCTGAAGGTACTCCGGGTTAACTCTGCATCGGGACGTCAATCACCTCAGTCCCCCGTGACCATGGGTGCTGGAAAGCACCCGATACGTCGGGAATTAATAAAAATAAGAAAAAACAATGTTATTAAACGCGATAAAATCCGTAAAAGTATAAAATGTAAAAGAATAAAACATTCAATGTGTAGTGTTCGCGTAAATATAAGAAATCATTATGTTAACATTCATATTGAAGCATATAACCTGACATACAATTTTATCAAATGTGTATTTCATAAAACTTAAGTCATAATTTAAACAGTTTAAGGCAAATTGTACAACAATGTTTATTCATACAAGTAAATGATGTATTAACAAATCTTAAAAGAATTAAGGAAATTATCTGAATACCTATGTTACATCAACAAAACATTAATTAGTATTTGTTGATTTTTTTTTTCAAGTTGTAATATAATATTTGATATACGTAAATAAAAAAATTGACTATCTGTTCTTAATAGATGCTTTATTTTTTCTACTCTGTCTAAAAATTGCCGTACATGAATATTAATTTTCATTCACATTTCTTATTCTGTTAACGCTCCGGTCATTCTTATCTCGATTTTCTTATCTTGTAGCCGACCCAAAAAGCTTTCGAAGCGTCGATTAAACAAGGCTTCGCAACTGTAATGAAGGTCTAATTTGAGGCCATTTGTCGGGGCGTACGGCGTGGCGACGCGTGCAAACAAACCGAGCGGCCTCCACTCTGAACACTAAGACCGTGCTTGTCATGTAATGACCCGCTTCGCTCCAAGATCGATTAGAGCGGGTATTCTGTTTCTACAGTTAGATTTAGAACAAGAATATAGATATAAAGAAATAATGTATCGGTGAACGGAAAAAAACAAAATTATGTTGGTGGGTACTGAAAGTTCAAAGTAGTGTCCGACTTTATTAGGGTCTGTTTGCATTATTTATTGTGTGTGTGTGTGTGTGTAATTTGGCAGGAAATCTTTACGAGTATCGATGACATTCACTACAAGTATAGATGCAAACCTACAGACTATCGCCGGTTTATATAAAATATATTAGGTAATAGAAAAATAATTTTGTGAAGGGTTTTTAGAGAGGGCATCGGTAGGCTATGCAGTATGACTTACTAGCTTTTGCCCGCGTCTTCGTTCGCATAGATATTATACTTTAAACCATAGGTCATCTATCAATAATCGCACTTTCATAGTAAGTTCCATCACCCTCTTTAGGTATGATTTCCGTGATCATAGCTATCCTATTTCCTTCCCCGGGACTTAAACTATCTCGATACTAAATGTCATCTAAATCGGTTGAGCAGTTTTTTTATAGGAGACTGGGCAAACGAGCATGCAGCTCACCTGATGGTAAGTGACTACAGCCGCCTATGAACGACTGCAACACCAGGGGAATTGCAGATGCGTTGTCGACCTTTTAAAAAGGAGTAGGCTCTTTTCTTGAAGGTGCGTAAGTCGTATCGGTCCGGAAAAATCGCTGGCGGCAATCGATTCCACAAGGAAGTTGTGCGAGGAAGAAAACATCTTCTAAATCGCTCAGTGGTGGACCGCCAATCGTCCAGATGATATGGATGGTATCGCAAGTTTTGTCGCGATGTGCGATGGTTGCAATACTGGCTGAGGCAACAAGGGGAGTACCTTGAAACTGAGGAGATACAACAAAGCGGGTCCCTTTAGCGATAAACGCGCAAACTTGTGTCTTCTGGGGATTGAACTGGACTAGATTTAGTCGCCCCCAATCCGAGACTTTATTCAACAAGGTATCGACTTCAGGCACAAGTTTGTTCCGGTACTCGGCGACGTTTTCCCGAGAAATACTGGCACGGCCGGTGTATAGAGCATCACCAGTACTGTCATTTGCATAGCAATGTATGTTACCGGTTTGCAATATATCATTGATATGCAAAAGAAACACTCTTGTGATAGCACGCAGCCTTGTGGAATACCAGCGTTAATAGGCTTGTAATCGGAGCATGCAGAAAACTGGTGATCCAATTGCACAATTTCTCGGGAAGCCCATAGGAAAGAACTTGTGATATTCTTTCTGTGATCTTTCACTGAAACATTTTATACGGTGAAGATATCAAAGATATGTCATCCTGCACGTTCCTAACAGAAGATATGTTATGGAAACTTTAGCACTAGTTTCAGCTAACGGAGCTCATTCTCCGTGGGCCACTCGGAGAGTTTTGCGAAACTAAAAAAAGTTCTATGGCTAAAGTTTTTATTACAAAATCTTTTCGAAGGACTCACCACCATACATAACATACCAGCCATATACAAAATTTCATGCGTCTGAACCAATTATTATCGAAACCCTATTTTTTATCTATTAGTCACAGTAAAACTAAATTTGCAAATAGTCGTTATCATAAATTTGGCGCAACTTTACAATTAAATTAATTTAACATAGATCACCTACAAAATAATGTTTGAGTTTAAGTTTTTTCTTTTTCTAAATAACTGCAACCTGCACACAATGTATACTGCGATCGATAGACGAGATTCTAGCGAACGGTACGCTAACAGATGAACGCTTATAACAAATAAAAAACTGCTGATGGAAAATAGGCTTACCAGTGCGAGAGAATAGTATGTAAAAAATGTAAACCATGTAAAAAAATAAAAATATACATATTTATGTTATGTTTTGTAAAGAGTAAACGGAAAATGTTGAAGATCTATTCTTGAAAATGCATTATAAATTTTATTATTAAATTTTAAGTTTTTTTTTTAATGTGTGCCCCAAATGTCCAAAACGCTATCCGCCATATTAGATTCCGTCGCGATGTCACAGATAAAGTCAACAAGCTAATGTTATAAATAATAGTACGACGTTTACAAAATTTTTCAAATTATCATCACGATTGTTGAATTTTATTCCGTATTTTATTGAAATAACATCAAGGAAGACAGATCCGTAAAGCAGAAAGTACTAATCTATCAAGGATAAATAGATTAATGGTGGCAAACATTTTTGCATGCGATCCCGTTTTTTGTTCTGTCGAATTGAGGAAATGTAAATACCTATTAACAACTTTAGTTTATACAATAACACAATACCAGTTCACATAGATATGTTTATCTATGGTTACTATCATTAGTTATATCTAACATAACTTAATCTTTTACAAAATTTAATTTTTCAACTATGATGCTTTTTTTGTATAAGCGATAGTTAAATATAAGTCATACTTACATCAAAGTGATCTTCACAGAAGTATAGTCTAGTTTTTGTAGACAATGTCTTAGGGTCTCTTCTTCCTATTCTTAACCAAGTGTTTCTCATATTTAAATCAGTTGCCACTTCAATATATAACCTCCTCGGTGTTCTTATGCTCGAATTTTTCATTCAAGCGCAACACATCAATGATAAAGATGATAACTCATGAAAAATCCAAAAATATCTTATTCCTTTGCAAAATCGTTTTATTTACTTAATCAGTGACGTCCCGATCTGAACAGCATGACAGCTAGCGTTTTCGCTCGAAAATTTAAAACGATAAATTAAAAGTAATTTTATGACACTATACGGTTTAAAAAAATATTTAAAAATTGTAGTGGTTTATTATCACTCTAGGATTCATTTATTGTATATTATATCAAACATTATTTGAAAATGGGTATAATACCCATTTTCAAATAATGGCTCTACACTACGCTATGCTAGCCAACTGCCCTCAGAAAGACCTACAAGCTACAACCAGTAGTCTTAAAAATACTGCTGATTTTGATGGTCATGTTAAAATGCTAAAGGGTTTTAAATTTATATAATTTCTATTGTGCCAAAACACTCACAGGCACAAATCTTTGTTTTTTATAAATATATCCCCCAACTAGGATTTTCTCCTGTATTGTGGCCTTTGACATTCATAAATTTATGGACAAGCATCCAGACCCGGTAGTATTACTTGAAGACTTGTTCCGTACGTGATTCGAACCCGCAGACCAGCAGTGTCGTAGCCAAATGATTAACTACTACGCTACCGAGTTTCCGAAAATGTAAAAGTGTGGTTATTAAATGTGTTTAAGTTGTACTATCTTATATGTTCAGTGTCGCATGGGGTATTTAGAGTATTTACGGGGATTGTTTGTAATAAAATATTTGTGTTCTTATTTTCTATTAAACAAAATTATAAGTATACAATAGTAAATAACAGTCCAATAATTATTAAAAAATTAGCTAAATATTTATTACATTGTACATTAACAGGAATGATGAAACTAAAAGTGACGTGAACTTAATAAAACCCTGTTTACAATTTTCAACGCAAGATTTAACATGAATTCAATAATTACAAATGGAAGTATTAAAAGTTTATTTTGAAGCAAACGTCAAGGAGATTTATATTATGTAAGTGCCCATTTCACGTAAAACTATACGTTGTGACCTAAAAAATTAACCTGAAATTGAGGCAATGGTTTGTAAACTTCATTTTACTACAAAAGTTAAAATTACAGGCTATATACGTCCCACTGACGGCCCGCCGCGTTGCCCCAATGCGTGTTGGCGAACTTCACGTCTTCGAAATATTTTTTATTTATTTCTCAGACATGCATTTTTCCTTCTAGCCGAGCACATGGTAAATCTGCACTTAAAATTGCAATTAACAATTTCATTGGTGCCGGCAGGGATCGAACCCGGGTTGCTCGAGTACTATGAAACAGCGAGCTCTTAGCCCTTGAGCTACCACGGCTCTACAACAAATATGCAGCTAACTATAAAGAAAATAATGAATTTTTAAGTCACCGTCTTTTTACTTAACCTGCGGCATCGTAGTATGTTTAAGTAGTATAATGAAATTAACAATTAAACATTACTACTCAAACATACTATGAAACGCACGCACACGCACGTGCACGCACACATGCGCACAATACGCACGCGTGTTTTTTTTTGACAGAAAATTTGACATTTCAGATATAAATGTTATACTCGACCTCAACGTACGGTAGTCGTGTTTTATAATAATTTAAACTTAATTTAACGTCGAAGCAACAATCACAGGAGTATAGTACGTATTATGGGCGAACACTAGACTTTCGGTGTGTAAACAGGGTAGTCTGTGCACTAGACTTGTTCCTTCGTGGCCATTATAAACAACGAACGAATAAGCCATTCATCCCGTGAATGGAAATTAATGAATAACTAAGTGGATATGGTATACAATATGGGCTGCGACATAAGTTATGTATATTTCTTTAGGTTTCTTTTCATCATTCTAAATACCTACTTATTTACCTAGCGATTGTTTAGCTTGGGTATGGCTGCGAAACGTAACGGTAGCAATGCTAGTATTAAAAAAAAATGTTTGCTTTTTTTAAATAATTATAACTATTATATATTGTAAATAATAATAATTTGTACCTACTTATCCTCAGAAAGTTTAAAAGTTGTATTTTTTAAAATCGCAATATTAAAAATATTTCTGAAATGGTGTAATTTTATTTGCCCTAATTTTTTTTTACTAACTGCCTTGACATTGTTTTCTCTTTCTATATGCTAATATAGAGGTAGGTATAGTTCTTTGTTTGTGGAAGTGATTTCTGGTACTGATGGTTTGATTTTAAAAATTCTTTCACTTCACGAATAGGCTATGTTTTATTGTATTCAAAATATGTTTTAGAGTGAAATTAGTAGATTGGTAAAGATTTGAGAAAAATGAGTTTTACTGGCGTGCGCTGACTGTAGTTTTTATAAAATAGATACAAATTACACAGTTATTTTGTATATAAATATAGCGTGTATTTTTTTGCTCCTTTTATTTTTGTCCGTAATATTTAAAAAATACTAAAATAACTTTGCTTTATACATAAACTTTACCTTATATTATATATTTAGCTAGTAAACTAAGATGCATTTATGTTTAATTTCGACTTTGTTTTTAATTCATACTAAACTATGAATGATTGAAACTATGAACCCGGGTTTGATCCCCGCTGGCAAAAATGAAATTGTTAGTTGCGATTTTAAGTGCTGAAAGATAGGCTGTAACTTTAAGTGTTCACTTTTATAAATGATTGAATTATTAAAAAAAAAAAAAATATATATATATATATATATATATATATATGTATGTATATATTTTTATAGAATAAGGGTGACAAACGAGCACATAGTCCACCTGATGGTAAGTGGTTTTTGTGGCCCATAGACATCTACATCTATCCTCGTTTGCGAATTAAACAGATACAGATGCGTGTCAGCCGTGAGAACTAAGATAGAATGCCTCTTTTCCAGTAAAAAGGGTCTCCGGTTCTCTACACTCACCATACGAAACACAGCAGCATTAAGCTGCTATTTTACGCTGGTATTCTGTGAGAGCGTGGTCCTTCCCCGGTCGAGCAGTCCCATTCGTGCTACTATTATACTATTAATATAGCTGCAGCAAGACTACCACGTTCAAACTAATAATAAATAATATACTTCAACTATCATGAGAAATGGTAGCATAAAATAAATTAAAATATTTTTTAAACATAGATCCATGCTGCAGCTAGCTATATTGTGAGACACAAAAACAAAAAATTGTTAAATGATATTCAAATAAAAATTTATCAAAATCTGTTATGTAAATTCTGATTTATTTTGTTGCACACATTAAACCTATTCTTGTTTTCAAGTCTATTGAAAGGCACTTAAAAGATAAAATAAAACGACATCATATCTATAATAGATAATATAATTAATTTATTTTATTGGTCGCCTCACAACATCAATATTAATCAAAATAGTTTGAAGTACATACCTACTTAGTATTAAATAGCGTACACTCATCAACACAAGACTTGCGTATTGATAGCTAATTAAAATAGGCCGATCATAATTAACTAAATGAAATAATTTAAAGACGATAAAAAATCTATTTCAAAAATCAACAATACAATATTAAAACATATTATTTTATAAACTATTGATATAACAGTGTTGATAATTGTACCTACTTATATAAATTGATAAAATTGATATGAACCATTTAAAAGTATTGAAAGCTCTGTGCTACAGCTATATAAGAGGAATAATTGGTTGAATCATATTTTAAAGTTATATTCTAACTTCCCACAACATCTTTCTTTTTCTCCGCAATATTTCCCGCAAAATAACAGACTTGCCTATACAAAGTAGGTAGCTAATGCAATAAAATTAACGAATATAGTCGCACATGTATTTTGTTTACGGGGTGTAGCAATTAACACATTGAAGGACATTGAAATTGAATATATGTATAACTAATTTATAATTCATACCATTTCCAGATATCCTATTCACATTAACATGTTAAAATTGTCAACAATAATAAAGTTGGGTTTGATAGTGGATAAATAATATGTAGGTATATTGTATACCCTATTCTTACCTATGTCAGTATGAACAATATGTATGATTTTGAGGAGTAGGTTACAACGTACAACAGACCTTTGTTCATATTCATGTAATTTTCAAAAAATTCATCAAAGACTAACACCATATTATTGGAGAGCCACAAAAGCAGCAAAACTTCTCAGCCGCATTCCAATTTTGTTTAATTGTCAAATTCATTCATAGATTTCCAAGACTAACCAATGCACAACAAAAAAAAAACGAGCAGTGCAGTATCCGCTATCAGGTATGCGCGAGTGTAACTATGAAATTATGGCTTATGATCGCTTTGTTTCATTTCGTCTCGTGCATGTTGCACATGTGTGTGTGAAAGAGAGAAAGAGATAACAGATTTAGTTAAGAAACACCACACCATATGAGAAATTAAAATAAATTATGAATTCAGTAAGATACGTTTGTTTTCAAATGCATGCATCACACGTTGGCCGTCTTATAATGTTTCAGGTTTCGGCCAAAGTGATTAAATATTGTCGAGTGTTATGAAAAAGAAGACATATAAGTAAATGGCATGTAAGTTCGAAAATCCGAATACTTTTAAATCGTTTTTTGAGCTTCAATAGATATATACTATGTAGTAACGTAGCTACGACTATCCCACAACGCTGACTCTTCCGTGTCATGTACTTACCTTAGGGTTTCCAACCGTCCTATTTTCCCAGGACATGTCCTAGTTTTTGTAGTGTCCTGGGATGTCCTGGATAGTTTTAAAGCGCCCTGATAAGGTCATATGTTTTAAAATTCGCGAGCCACTTACAATCCTTACGTTACGGGCGGCCTCGCGGCGGCGTTTTTACTTTTTAATGTATGGTATGATTTCAATTTAGATACTTGCATACATAGTATATACATTCGCCACGTTGTCGGTACGGTTCGGTTCGCAGTTATGTTTGACAAGGCCTTTAGTGCGTCCTGTTTTTAAACTGATTTGTCCTGGTTTTTCCAACTTCAAATCCTAGTTATTTAAATTTGGGGTTGGCAACCCTAACTTATCTACTCTTTATGGTTACTAAGGTTTACTACTCTATGATACCAAGTTTCAAAATTGTTCCGATTATCTACCCCGCTTTCGGTCAAACAACAGCAATAGTAAAATATGTTACTTGAATGTTATTTGAAGTATAAAGTTATCGTTAAAAGATACAAATATATTAATCACGATACTGACTTTAAACTTACTATGTAAAAACTACAAAAATTGTAATCATGTTACATAGAATTGGCACGTTTTATAGACGAAAAATTTACGCTATGTTATCCTTCCTCTATGACCAAAGAATAATCAATAGGAATAAATACCCAATAGAGAGTAAACATCGCGAAATATTATAAATATATTAGTTATAAAAGAGCAAGACCTTAAGCCTATATTGTAAAGTCAGGCGAGAAGTCAAAACGGTATTTTAAACTGCCGTAACAGATCTTTGGAAAATCACGTCGGTTCCATCGGTCACTTCTTCGTCTTCTTCATCGTCGCAGGCGTCCTCGGGCTCACCTAATGCTCTGACGAACTCTGTAATTTTAAACGTATTGTATTTAATTGTTTTTTTTTTTTTAATTTAAATCATTATTTGCATATAACATTACAGATAAATTTCTTACATTTGTAAATGAGCATTCATGTTTAATCGATTTATCGATAATCAAATATTTTGTCATAGTCATGCAATCGAATTACATAATGAAAATCAATTAAACAAATATAAATAACAATAAAATTAACAATTCATAATTATACAGAATGTCAGCATTTGAAAATAAAATGTCATAAAACATAAGCAACCTTTAATACAAACGGAACAATGTCAAAAATCATTTTTCCATTCATTCATTCATTATTGCCTATTAAAAGTACATTGCTGAACATGGGATTTCCCCCTATATTGCCTTGTCTCATAGGATTTTGCTAGTGGCCAGGATTGACAGGTGGGATGGCAACCGCAGCTTTTTTATTATTTCCATTTTTTTTTTTTTCAAGAACTTGTTGCCGCCACTATACAGCTATTTTTAATTATTATTTCAACTTCATCTAAAGACTGTCATAGAGTGAATAGGCTTTTGTTAAGTCAGTGCGCCTCATCATCTTAGGCTACATCAGCATCACCACTTATCATCAGGAGGGAATGTAGTTAAGCGCTGGCTTAGAATTGTAAAAAAAATCCTAACAAGAAAGATACCTGAACAGTTCTTACAATGAAGTTTGTATCTTATTCAGATGTAAGGTTGTTGTTATGTTTTTTGAAGCTTCGTATAATGCTAAGAATATTAAACGTGTTATCTGTACATATCGATCGATATCTTTAGATACTTGACATTACCTGCGGGGTGAGGTAGCCTTAAAATAAATAAAATTGAAAAGTTGTAGATACTAATATACGGCCTTACTTATAAAAATCGACATCAATTTAAGAAATCCTTTAAATTGCTCTCTCTCTCTCTCTATATATATATATATATATATATATATATATATCTCTCTATCTCTATATTTCTCTCTCTCTCTTTCTCTCTCTCTTTCTCTCTCTCTTTCTCTCTCTCTCTCTCTCTTTCTCTCTCTCTCTCTCTCTTCACTAAATGACAATCGAAAAGGTCAGGTAGAGAGATAAATAATTAAAAAATTATTAAAAAAGGCAGTACTTATATTTAAAATAGTATGTGACTTCGAAAGAAACAAACTTACCCAAAAAGTCAATACGCCCATCGCCATCAGAATCGACTTCTTTTATCATATCTTCGACTGGAAATAAACAGAATGCCATTAAAATATTAAGTTGATGAAGTTGTTATGAACACCAAAGTAAAATAAGATCTAAAAGCAGCTGTGTTTCGTAATGTGAGTGTAGGAAACCGGAGACCCTTTTAACTGGAAACAATGCATTCCATCTTAGTCCTCAAGGGTGACGACGCATCTCTATTTTGATTCTTAATCGAGGATAGACTTATCATCAGGTGGACTGTGTGCTCGTTTGTTATTATTACGTCTATAAAAAAGACATATTATTAACGAGGCTAAGAATATTACTTACCTACTTCTTCCTCGATTGACACGTTAGTCTCTCAGGAATTTTATTTTTAATTAAGTTTATAATGCATATTATCCGTTGAAGATTATGACTACACGATAGTACCACAATATTTTATATTACATTATTCATAACAATGTCAGTCGTGATCAAAGTTTAAGTCAATGTGGTTTATATACATTTTAATTTTCACATGCGAATATCTTTTATTACCAGACCAGCCTATAAAAGTCTACTCCTGAACATAGGCCTCCACCATAGACTGGCTCATAGAGGAATTTCGCCATAGTTGACGCCTTATGAGCGGGTTGGCAACCGCAGTTTTTTATTATTTTGAGTTATTATCAAGAAAATACTTCAGCCCATTACCTGTTTCAATTTCCTTCTGTCGCCTCTTCGACACCCACGGGACGATATGGAGTAGCTATGTAGGTTTAAAATTTTGTAATAAGTGATATGTATAGAAGCTGTTGGCGTTCCGAATAAATAAATAAATAAATGAGAGGTCTAATAAATTAAATAAATGATACAACAAGTCGTATTGACATTGTGCTTCTGGTCTCGAATACTCACTTTCCTCCTCCGAGAGATCCTCGCCGAGACACTGCAGCACAGCCCTCAGATCAGATGCGCAGATATACCCTCGATTGTGTTTGTCGAACACGCGGAAGGCATCGCGCAGTTCCCGCTCCTCTTGTTCAGCGCAACTGCTGCCGCCCCCTGCTGACATCGACTTGGAGAGGATGTTCACGAACTCCTCGAAGCTGACATTGCCGTCCCCTGTGAAATACGTATTGTATAGAATAATTTGGATAATATAGATTATTACATAATAGAGTACGTGAGGGTAATATAGTCATCCGGTTAATATGGTCACTTTCTTATAATTCAAAAACTACAGCCTACTTTGCATAGATGGCTTTGTGATACGATAGCTCTTCATCAGTCATTCAAATAATAAAGGGTCAAAAGGCCGCCGCTTTATCGACACCAATTTGACAGTTGATATTATAGTAAGTACGTGAGGGTAATATGGTCACCTTAAGCTTTATCGCCTTATAAAACCAAAATTAGGAGAACAGAGACAAAAACCCAAAGTCGTATACTATAACTAATATATTAAAAAAAATAGCAAACAAGCTTTGGAAATAATTAGGAACACTTCGAAAAATCAACTTAAAAAAAAACTACACTACACAATACAAAAATCGACTAAAATATTTACAATAATATCAACTGTCAAAATAGCGTCAATAAAGGAGTGCCTTTTTGACCCTTTATTATTTGATAGACTGATCAAGAGCTATCGTATCACAGAGCGTTCTATGCAAACGACGCTGTAGTGTTTGAGTTATAAGAAGTGACCATATTAACCGGATTTACCATATTACCCTCACTATAGTTAGTTTTTTTTTTAAGTTGATTTTTCGAATATATAATTTTATACGTGGTAGAGCCATGCTGCATCTATATTTCTGGTATAGTTGTAACACGAATAGGTCGGCTCAACCGGGGAAGGACCACGCTCTCAAACAATACCAGCGTAAAAGAGCAGCTTAATGCTGCTGTGTTTAGTTTGGTGAGTGTAGAGAACCGGAGACCCTTTTTACTGGAAACGAGGCATTCCATCTTAGTCCTCACGGGTGACAACGCATCTGCATTTTGATTCGTAATCGAGGATAAATGTAGATGTCTATGGGTCACAGCAACCACTTACCATCAGGTGGACTGTGTGCTCGTTTGTCACCCTTATCCTATAAAAAAAGTGTTAGTAATTATTGCCAAGGCTTATTTGTTATTTTCCATATTAATTATAGTATACGACATTGTGTATTTGTCTCTGTCCTCCTCCTAGTTTTGGTTTTATAAGGCGGCAAAGCTTAAGGTGACCATATTACCCTCACGTAGGTACCTTATTACTTATTGAAAGTCATTTTTTTATTTATCACTGGTTCGGAAAATACCTCCTTCCTGGGAAAAACCAGCAAGAAACCCAGCGGGACTATTTTTAAACATATTTCTCTTTACAATAATTTTGTTTGCACAATTTTTAAATGAATTTTAGTACAACCAGCATAATGGCGATCACCCCATTCGCAGGAGTTATTACTATTTATTTTATTTTATGTATTCTTTGATAGTATAATAACCCTTTTTGTACGATTTTTCTTTAATAAGACATTTAAACTTGTTTATTGACAAATTAATTAGGAATTTGCATCACTAGGAACAACTTTTCTACGTTTATTTTCCGTACTGTATTCAATAATATTTTTTGACTTTTGAGCTCTCAAGTTTTCGCACTCTAAAACATTGTGCGTATGCATACGCATGTAAGACCATCCCGCCATCGTGAGATAAGAATATAAATACCTACTTTGTTTTTAATTTGATGTGGGTCTGAAGTTTAATATGTCTCGGGTGTAAGTTCGCAAGTTAACCCGAAACTAACTTAAAAGAACGCCTGTGCATTACAACCGCAACCTTACCATCACTGTCAACCTCCTGCAGCATGTCCTGTAGCTCTTCCACTCTTGCGAACTGGCCAAGGCTGCGCATTACCCGCCCCAGTTCCTCCTTCGTGATAGTTCCGTCTCCATCTTTATCGAATAGACGGAATGCTTCCCGGAATTCTGAGACAAAAAATAGCGTGTTTTATCACCAAAGATTTTATATTAGCCTTGCTGTTAGAGCATCGGACTCGTTATTTCTCAGATGTTTTACTTCACCGACGAACACGGGATAAATCAGCATAAAAAATTCCGATATACTACTTTAATGGGAGTAATGTTTTCATTCATGGTATGCCAGTAAAAATGAGATTTTTATGCGCATATCCTGAAATATAATCGAGCACCCAACTCCTGAGCCACGACTACAGCTCAAAAAACATTACTTACAATTATTATGTGCAACTTTTTATTCTAACATGGGATGGGAAGACCTTGCATTGCTTCTAACAGTCTAATTAGATATTTTTTTTAAATAAGTGCATTTCACGTGACCTTCTCAGGTCAACAGTAAAACCCAACCAACCTCTCCGCTTTTTGTTCTAGGTGCACAAAATGTTTTTATTTATTTATTTATTTCAACTAACAACTATCGTGACAGACAAAACCTAATGCGACAGTGTAGTTCTTTTCATGCATAACAAAAATGTTGTCATAAACTGTAACAAATTGTAAACAATCCTACCCTAGTGAATTCACTCAAGGTGCAATAGCATAGGTCAATGTCTTCAGCCATTCTATTAAAAATGCGTTACGTAACGTACGTTCGCGTTAAAGGCGCCTTGTCGAGTAAATTGGTACGGCCAGCAGCCGCTCCCGCCGCCGTTGCCATACGTACCCGTCTGGAACATACAGCCCAATCCGCCCCAATATGTCACTGTTAAATATTTTTCCTCTAAGCATTTTAAAAATATATAAGGCAAATGCTAGGTCTCGTCTTACCCTCAACTCGTAGGCAACCATACCCAGAATAAATTTAGGTAGATTTCATAATAGGGCATATTATAGGTATCTAATAAATTTATTTTGCACACGTTCGAGCATTACATTATACCCATTTTCGTGCCCCGACCATATTTAAGGCGTTACCCTTCAGATTACTTCTTACCAGCGTATTATACAGGTGATGATTACCTTAATGTTCGTCAAGCCGTGCACTGTGCGAAGAATGAAGCCGATACGATTTTTTAGAGTAATAGATAATGTTTTCACTAAATAATAATTCACTATTTAGTCGAACGCTTAGGTCGTTAACGTCTTTAACTCTTACATATTATATACAATGGGTGTGCGCTTTCTAGTGAATGAAATGGTTACACATTGGTAAGTAAGTGCTGAAAGATGTTCTAAATATATACTGCTTGTTGTAAATTTGTGTGTTATGCTGTTATGTTAAATATAGTATAGTTATGGCGTTAGCTGAGGGGCTTAGGCTATGCTGTAAATGTTCGATACCCATCGGCACTAAAAAACTTTCTACGTGCTCGGCGTTAAAAGAATACATCGAGAGAAAACCTGTATGTGTGCGAAACCAAGTTATAAAAAATTTATCTTAAACATGTAGGTATCGTACCTTTCATTTGTGTTCGTGAGATGCCAGTTGTCTCGTCAATGATGGACGCCTTTCTGTTCAAGTTGTTGTCAGCTGCTGGCTTCAGAAAGGCCACCTGCCGTTGCGATCTCGGGGGTGAAATCGAACGTTGTGATAGACGACTGTAATGTTGATAATTGAATTTCTATTTTTTTTAATGTTCATGTTCCAAGGCCTTTACTTCATACATACATAGAGTTATGTGATTATGTCTGTCATCCCCGAGGAGGGAGCAGAATCCAAAGAGAAGAGGGCTAAACGGACACTTTAGCCTAAAAAATATGGGCTTAGATAGAAAATTGTGTATGAAGGGATAGATAGGCTACACAATCATAAACCCAATATCCCATAAGTCGTCTTTCACGATATGCAGTCAAGTGACGCAATATATACACAATAGAACGAGAGGGCTAAGTACATATGACCGTGCGGTACAAGATCAAAGTAAATGGCGATTATCGTTTACATCACCGCGCGGTGAAGCGCAGTCATATGAACTTAGCCTAATCGTCATTTTCTTTGATCTTGTACCGCGCGGTCATATAAACTTAGCCTAAATAACATCGTCCAACGGATCAATAATCTGAAAGGTAATATACGAGTAGCTCTAAGGGGAACAGCTAATGGGGAATAGATTGTACGTGGTAGGGCTATGCTGCAGCTATATTAATAATATAGTTGTAGCACGAATGGGACGGCTCGACCGGGGAAGGACCACGCTCTCACAGAATACCAGCGTCAAATAGCAGCTTAACACTGCTGTGTTTCGTATGGTGAGTGTAGAGAACTGGAGACCCTTTTTACTGGAAAAGAGGCATTCCATCTTAGTCCTCACGGATGACAACGCATCTGCATTTTGATTCGCAAACGAGGATAAATGTAGATGTCTATGGGCCACAGCAACCACTTACCATCAGGTGGACTGTGTGCTCGTTTGTCACCCTATCCTATAAAAAAAAGGTTGAAGTTCCACGTAAACATGGGACCATTAAGTCTCAGACCAACATGGGACTTGAAATAATATATCTTACTAACTTTTCTAAACGCTAACTAAAGCTACTGCCGGGGTACGCTATCGCCTAATGCCAGAAAATCCATTCAAAATGGTTGAATGATTATATACCGCCAATGGTAGATCGACAGAGCCTTGTTGGTTGAATGCGGTTTGTTCCACGTGCAGGTGGTTACCGTTTAGAGAAGCTGCTACGTCCCTCTTATCTCCTAAAGCAATAAGTTAGTGGAGATGAATAGCAGCGTAAAATTGCAAGACAAAGTAGAATGTTATCATAAAAAAAAATCCGTGAGTGTCGTGGAACACTCGGTTGAAACGAAGTTCCTTCCGTATTATATTATTATTGATAAACGTATCATATTATTGATTAAAAAATACAAATAAATGGATTACTAGCGTCTATTAAAACGAAGCGTCATTTAAAATAATATTTCTTTCATGGCAAGATAAGAAAAAGTGCGAGGGAGATGGATTTTATCCCATCTCGCTCGCACTATAGAAAGGGGGTCGTGACGGAAAAATCTAACACTTTTTCTCGCCTAGCCCCCATCCGTGAAATTCGTACTCGCGATAAGGAACTTCGTTTAAAATATGAGGTACACACAATAATAAAATGAAGGCGTAATAAAATCAATAAAAAGTACTGTATACAATTAACAAAATAACTTATAATATATAAGACGGCTCTCTGGCGCAGTGGCTTAGCAATGAGTTGTTGCGCTGGGGGCCGCGGGTTCGAATCTCGCACGGAACAAGAATTTGTATGGCCTACAAATAATTGTTCCGGGTCTGGATGTTTGTCCTCGTGCAATCTATGTTTGTTAACTGCCTCCACGATACAGAAGAAAATCCTAGTGTGAGGGTAACGGTTTTTCAATAAAGACACGAATATGTCTTTTAGACTGGATTTCGGTACCGGTGGCCAGTCTCAGTGGAGACTAGTCAACTGCGCAGGACAGAATTATATAGTACATTCTCCCACTCTCATTGTTTGATAGGGCGGCAATCCGAGTCGACGGGAGAGAGATTTACAGGCTTCTAAGGCACGGGAGTGAAATACTGGTTTCGGACTACAAATAATTTATTAACAGATAAATTCAATATCTGATTTTTGGTCCGACCCGGGATTCCAATTAGGGACATCATAACCTATAATAAGACCACTAACCGGTAAGAACAAAAACTGTACCAAAAGGTGGAACGTTTATTGAAACCAGTAATAAATAACCGAACGAAATTTGGAACCGAATTCAAACAAAATAATTAAAAATTTTGTATAACAGACTTCATTATAAATTATTAAGAATAACTCAAAAAAGATTGGTCAGACCTTGACCTTATACGGGACCATATGAGAAGCACCAGCTTTTAAATAAAAAAAAAATAATTGAATTCGGTTCACCCAGAAAAAAGTTAGGAGGTAACACACATAAAAAATGAAAATAAAAAAAACATACAGTCGATTTGAGTACCGTCTCCTTTTCGAAGTCGGTAGAAACAAAGCAAAGAACAGAAACAGAAAGAGAGTATTTTTTATATGGGCTAAGTTTTTAAGTTTTTTTTTATTTACATCCTGATTAGATATTAATATTCACAAATATGAATATACATATATTTCAAAATATAAAAATCATTTTTTAACCCTTAAAGACACTAAATGGCTAAAATAGAATGCTCCCTTAAATTATGTCATTGAGTACGTTTTAGGTGGTTTTAGGTAATGATAAATAAATAAATTAATAAATACACTCAATATGCCCGGTCAATATAACGAATTTCTCTTCGGTAGGGATCTGTTTGCTCGAGTGCCGGTACGTTCCAATTGAATTATTGAGCATATTATTTAATTATGGAACTTCTTTTCTTCTTAGAACTTTGTGATGAGTAGATACCACCCTCTCGGAGGCGGTACCACAAGTTGCCACTAACCTTCGAATACTATCTACGTTTCTTGCCATTTCACAATGCATTCCGAATCCTTGCTATTTATAAATAAGGAACTTACCCTAGTAACTTAAACTCGCTCACCCCTACTCACCTCTCCGAAGGACTGAGAGCGACAGACTGCGGACCCCGGCTCTCCGGACGTGAAGATTCATCAGGTGGTCCCGGCTCACCACTGCTGCTTACTTGCCTCGTCTGAATAAAAACAAGTTTATATTTATGTTGATGAGGATGACGAAGATAAACCTACACACAACCACCTTTATTATTTCTGCCATCTCGAGGGAATTGCATTTGCGATTGAACTCTGGGTATGTGCACTCTACAACGTCTGTGGAGTCATTTTGTACTGTTTTCTGAAAAAACTTTTTATTCCTTTTTGCATTTTAAACTTACTAGGAGTGGTTACAGGGAATATTAGTAATGTATATAGCATTGGTAGTATTTTTTAAGGAAAAAAAGTCTGTAGAGCGTGTACCTGCTGATTTTGTTAAAGGGAAATGCCAGAAATATCTTTTTGTTACTCTCAGGTTAGAAAGAAAGCAAGTAAAATATTAGTAGGTCTACATTTCATATAGCAATCGTAAAGTATTTTATGAAGAAAGAAGAGGAACTATGTATGGAATCACAATTGTTAAATAATAAATTAAGGGTTTCAAAACATTTTTTTCGCTACATATTTTGAAGTATTGCACTATATAAAAATTTTTATTTCTTTACATTGAACAATGCAAGAACAGATGCAATCACCCCTACATTGATGGACTTTTTTAGTAAAACTGTGATGAAACTGCGCGTTAGTGTTAATTTAAGCATTAAGCAGCAGTCCCGCATATGATGGAACGATAAACTCAGTAACATAACGTTTCTTGGTATATACATTTAAATTTATGTACTTACGTGGTAGAGCCACGCTGCAGCTACATAATGGCTGCAGCACGAATAAAGTTTTAGCAATATAATCAAACTATAATGTAAACTATATTTTCTAAGTTTGTCTAGATAAGTCCTATCGCTGAGAAAACTTTTTTTTTATAGAATAAGGGTGACAAACGAGCACGTAGTCCACCTGATGGTAAGTGGTTGCTGTGGCCCATAGACATCTACATCTATCTTCGTTTGAGAATTAAAACGCAGATGCCACTTTTCCAGTAAAATAGGTCTCCGGTTCTCTACACTCACCATACGAAACACAGCAGCATTAAGCTGCTATTTTACGCTGGTATTCTGTGAGAGCGTGGTCCTTCCCCGGTCGATTCGACCCATTCGTGCTACAAATATACTATTAATATAGCTGCAGCATGGCTCTACCACGTAAACATTATTTCTAACGGATATTTAGCCGCCTACAAAGTGCATCCGATTTCGATTGATTAAATTTAGGCGTATTCGATTTATTTCATAGTACGGGTAAAGCCAGAAAAATAATAAACCTAAATTTAGCTGGATTCGCATAGAATTTACTTTATGAATTAATTACCCAGGCATTTTGAGTAAAGTCCGAATAATTTATATTTACGTATTATATTAAACCTGTAATTCAAAATATTTATCCTAAGTGTATCCGTACTTCGGCTTTTAGCTGCAATATCGTAACATTATAATCAGACCGGTGACGGGCAGCACCAATATAGGTACGAGACGGCAGGCGACTCGCATTGCGATCGCCAATCCGCCAGCTCAGCGTGGCATTTACAGCAAATCATCGATAGTAAGAAACAGGACCATGTCCGGCAGTGGATAGTTTACGAGCTGATATAGAAGTTACGACTTACGTTTAGGTACATATAAAATATTGAAACGGTTTTCCTAACCGATGCGATGTTAACCATCGCAACTAGGGTCAGATTGAGTCACGTTAAGCCATTAAGTAATGCAAATCTTCGCTTCCCTCCCCTTTTTCCAACTTCTATCAATAAGAAATAAAAATGTATTTTGGTTGGCCGGGAGACTCTTGCCCACAGGCAGTAGACCATTTTACACACAGATTACAAGCTTCTGGCTCTGAATGTACTGGGACTGTATCAATGCGTCTAACACTAGCTAAACCTATCGTTAAAGAGTTTCCAAGGCAATAATCTTGCTTTATGATATAGGGTAGTGGATACTACCCCATATCAACCCGTGGATGAAGAGAAAACAAGAGGCGACAAAGGGAAACTGAAACAGGAGATGGGCAGCAGCATCTTCTTGATAATAACTCAAAAAAAAACTGCGGTTGCCAACCCGCCTGCCAAGCGTGGCAACTATGGTAAACTCCCCCATATGGGGCAATCTATGAGAAGGCCTATTTTCAGCAGTGGACTTTTATAGGCTGTAATGGATTGATCAATCTTATTGCTTTCGTGGTTGCGCATACACTTAAATTAATATATACTCGCAATTTGTAAAAGTCGTTGTAATTACGGCCATGACTACGGCGTGAGTAATTACATTAGATTATAAAACTAGGAATTTAAATAAGACTATTATGCAGTTCACAGTCCACCGACCCCGATGGCACAATGCTCCAAATGACTCGTATAAATACGCATCCCACCAACAACATTAATTCGTCAGTCAGTGAGTGATATAAATTGCACTTTTCAGACCTTAATAACTCAAGAAATACAATAGATTTATTCAAGGATTATAAGTATTCAAGGAGACGACCTTATTAGATATGCAAATTACAAGGTCTCAAGGTTTTTGAGTTAGGGGGGTTTCCTAATGGCTCGAAATGGTTCTTGTAAAATTACACACTGGCCGACACGACGGTGCGTCGCCTTTTCTTTTCCGAACTTGGCTGACATACTGCCTTGTTTCTAGATTACTTATATAGAGATACATAGAGGTGTAAAAAATTTTTTCACCCATCACCTTCTCGTATTGTGATTGTCATAAAAATAGCTAAAGCGTAATGCCAAAAAATTTCGTGGTTGCCAAAAGATGACGGGATATCCGAATATTATCACAAAAAGTGTCATGTCCAAAATGATATTATTTAGAGTGGTGAAGACGATGACAAATTAATAGGTAAAAAACTCATTTATTACCTACTGCGACCGCGTATTGCGCCTATAATGGACTTTCTTGCAATTTTAGAAACCTTTGGTGAATGTGACTGTATGGCACATGTAAACACATGAAAGTAGCTGTTATATAAAAATCGAAAAAATATGCTTACCATGATACCTTTAAGCTGATTCACCAGAGGCGAATCAGCGAAGAAGTTGTTCACCGCGGAGAATATGTTTGTAGGTTTGCTCGTCAGGGTGCAGCAGGCGCTTGCACGCCCGACCGTCACTCTGTAGATTAAATAAATATATAAATTCAAAATACTATATGAAAAAAAATACCCGAAGTTTTATGAATTTGTCTGCATTTATAGGTTGCCTTTGTTGTTACTTGTTACATTACATTGACGTGCGTTTGTTTTATGTAAGTATATTATGTTCACCGATTTCTCGATTTCTCTAAATCGATTTAAATTATTTGTAACGTTGGAAAGGTGTCAATGAGAAGAAGAGTGGCAGGTTCTCCAGGTCGGCAGTCGGCAGGTCGGTTAATCTGTCTAGGTCTTTAATTGATTTCTCTCTATTCTTAACTTAGCTCTAATATACACAGTAGGGGGCTATACTACACTACATATTCTTCTTTTATTAAACAGGTTATACTTCAGAGGTGGTATATATAATAAAATATAAATGTTAAGAAAATAATCGACCCTAAGCGTGAAAATTAGGAGAGAATGTATTTAATGTAACTATTTAGACAACATTCTAGTAATCCACTTAAAATAGTAAAACAATTAACCTTTTAAAAAACCGATTTTCATCAGCAAATAATACTATATTATGGTTATCCCCTACTATGTAAGCTCTTAATAAGTCTGTGACAGACTTATTAAGAGCTTAGATAAGGCTTACATTTACATTGTAAGGTAAGTCATTAATATATACAAGAAACAGAAAAGGGCCGAGAATTGAGCCTTGAGGCACACCCATTGGTACTATCGACCCGGAAGAGCTCATACTATTAATGACAACTTTTTGCATTCTGTTACTTAAATATGTAACAATTAATTTAAGAGCATTACTTCTTACACCGTAGTGTTATAGTTTCCTTATTAATGTTTCATGGTGAACACAATCGAAGGCTTTGGATAAGTCACAGAATATACCCAAAGCATCCTGTGAATTCTCCCATGCAATGAAAATATATTTAATCAGTTTAACACCAGCATCAATTGTCGAGTTGTTGAATTGATTTATATGAAATAAATTATTTCATATTAAAAAAAATTAAAATTTGATCAAGAATAATTTTTTCAAAAATTTTACTAAGTGTTGGCAGTACAGAAATTGGTCTAAAATTGGCGGGGTCTAATGTACTACCAGATTTAAATAAAGGCAATACTTTACTATGCTTCATTAAATCAGGAAACACACCATATTCGATACTAGTATTAAAAATAATAGCTAGTTGAGGTACGATTATATCGATTATAGACGCAATAACTTTAACGGAAATCCCCCACAGATCTGCAGTTTTTTAATATCAATAGTTTTAAAATATTTTACAATATGTTTTAATGATATTTTATGAAATGTAAAATTCTTTGTACACGCATTTACATTTAAGTAATGATTCGGCGACGGCAGGAAAAGAATTCAGTGACTTAGTGGTTAAGATTGGAATATCAGTAAAATATTTTTCAAAAACCATTGCAACATCCTGATCTGATTCAGTTCATTTGTTGTTAAAACTTAACCGGTAGTTTGAATTGGGAGAGTTGACCTTACCAGTTTCACTATTAATTATAAGGATATCAAAATGAGAATATATATATTTATATTTATATATTTAGATTTACACAAAAATCTGACTACTTTGCAAGATTCGAAGAATGTAAGCACTCCGGCAAACCTACGCTATAGCCATTGGGTTTTTGAGAAAATGTTCTTTAAGGCGAAATTAGCAATCAATCATATTGCGCGGGCAAGTTAAGTTTGTTGTGTTAAGGCCTTAACAGTGGTTGAAATGCCTAAATCTAGGATATTTAAGTAAAAAAATCTCAATAACTGTTCATTTAATCCACAAAGAAAAAATACAGGGTAACAGAAGAAGATTTGGTAAATGTTTTTAATTTAACAAAATTTTATGATTGTCAACCCCTTATTAGAAAAAAAATCCCCAAAGAGTACCTATCTTTGTCATATTTTGCAAAATTTCTCCAAAACGGCACAAGCTTTTTAAATTGTTCTTACACTAAAAAAAAGGTCTTAAAAATATTAATATTTTTAATTGAGAGTTTTATTTTTATTACTCGTTTTATAAGAGAATATATCATTTTTCCCTGAAATTGAATATATTTACGCGAGCGCGCATGCTCCGTCGCCATGTAAGCTCTGTCACAGTCCGTCAGTGGCATAACAGTCCATACTATAATTTTTCTTAGAGGTAAAAATATGTCAAGACAGTTTGTCCATGTTGCAGTAGATGTCGCTTTTTTAAATTTAGCCATGCTAGGCCAATTAAGAATCAAACAAATTAATGAAAAGCTCAAAATATAATCGAACCTTGTTAACTTACTATTTTGTTACAAAACAAATTTGTAATTAAATTTTTAGTATAATTTATTTATTTTACATTTATTCAAGTGAATTATTATGATTTCGCCGTTGCAAATTGTTTTCTCCGTTTATCTATGGCAAGAGCCGGAGGGAGAGATCTATGGTCATTTCGGTCTGTCAATGTTACAAATGTCATTTATATTTAATTTTATTTTATACATACAATATTAAAAACAAAAGAAACTAAAACTTGTAGTTTGTGTGAGTGTAAAACTAGTAACTTCATTTAACGTAATTTAATTTGTCTGTTTGTCATTACATTTCCTTTCGTGGTTTGTGAATGTGCTCTGTTTGTGTTTATAAAACTTTAACAACTTTGCTTGATTCCCGGACTCCGAAGACTTCGCGTTTTTCGTTGAACTTACGCATGAAACTCTGGACCCTGATTTGCTTAACTATTTGTGCTCTGTTGACCTGGATTGTGGCTTCTTTTGAGAGAAGTTGTTGTGTACTATTATAATAAAAGAAAGCATTATAAAAAAACATCCAACCGCTAAACAGTTGTTTTATTTGCCTAAATTATATTGTATAAAAAGTAATTTCCAAAAGCCAAATCAATATTAAAATGATTTGACTTTTGGAATTTACTTTGAAAATAAATAATAAATATTGTAATATAGAGCATCCTACGTCGTCGCTGGGTTGTAGGGACGTCGTATATCGCTAGATGGCGCTAATGCTACGATTCTAAGTGATGACTCTATTCCCTATATATAATGTACTCTGTGCAGTCCGTTTTCGGACATCGTCGAGGGTGGACCGCACGTCGGTGTTAGAGCGACTTCGTTCAAATATATATTAGTTTTTTAAAAGTTTATACTCAATTATAAATATTTTTATGACTAGAAATACTTAATTTAGTTAATATCTGTACACTGGTAACTGTAAATATTATTTTCTAAATAAATGAATTTTTAAAGTGCCCAAAGAAGAAGAAATTATTGCGGCGACGTTGATTAGTGAAATTGAAAAATGCATTTTTATATAATTTAGATGTGGAACGACGAACTTGCTCTCGTTACTTAGATTGCGATAGTTTTTAATACCTATGTAATTTTATTGTTGCATATTTTTATTAATTAGTTGATAATGAATTTTATAATTATGTATTACCGTAAAGGCGGGTTACTTTAGCTGTTTTTTTTCAGTTATTTTACGAATTTGATCTGTGGTTTGTATTGGTATTGTCCTTTTAGTATTCTTATATGCTATAAAGAAGCTTGAGGATGTACTCAACAAGATATGAAGTGTATTTTAGAAATATGATACCTAACAGTAACTTTTTTTTAAGTTAAAGTTTGGGCCAAAGTTGTTCTTAGGAAAGGGTTAATTTAACCCCATGAACTTTATCGCTGAAAAATCGCACTTGCAGCTATTATTGGCCAAAGAAACCATCCAGGGCGGAAAGATTGAATATATCCAAGAGAGATTTAATGTAAGAAAAAAGTTCGAAATAAATTAAAACACGATGTAAAATCAATATTATATATTTCAAAAAGATTTACAGTAAGTAAATTCCTCAACAATATCTCAACTCAGTAGCAAACTTACAGAAATACAACAATAATATTATCTTAGATTAATTAGGTAACATTTGCAAACGTATATTTTACTTCTCAGTCTAATTAAATTATAATTTCAGTCTTATTTAAATGAGAATCAACGTTTACCAGTAGCATAGGAAATCTAATTTTCTTCTCTTAGTTTCTCTCTTAGTTCTTATTACACGTTCATTTCCGGAACCGAGAAACAACCCTTTTTCTCCAATTTTGGAGGTCCAATCTTACACAATATGTGGTCCCAACCATAAAGTTGTTCATCTTTTATCGTGGGCCACCGCCAGTACATTTTACCTTTTTTCATGCACGTTATAAAGGCTCCTTCCTCTGAAACTGCTAAGACTTTACCTGGGTATTTGCGTGAGTTCCATGTTACTAGAACATGGTTGCCTACAACAACATCTAGATCAAGTGAACCTCCTCGAAAACCTGGTGGCTCTAATGTATCCTGCGGTAACTTTTTGATTTGACGTGCGGGCGAGACCCGCAAGTTTTTGTCTTGACAATCTTCAACAACTACCTGCATTTTCTCTCTTTCACTACATTTTTCTTCAACGATCTGTATACCCTCAATAGATTGAATGGGAGTGAAGTCTTTAAAAACATCAAACAGCTGTTGCTCTACATCTATTACTTGAAGAACAGGAGAGCCACACTCCTCTTCTACTTCACTCTCCTGCTGAAGATCAGGCGAATGTCGAAATGTAGGTGCATCAGTATCACTAATCTGACTCACATAGTTGGCCAGAAGAACATCATCCTCAGAGTCATAAGGCATTATGTGGTCTTCAGTGGAAGAAGCTAGACTGATGGTCCTGTCACTGCAGCTTGAAGATGAAGAGACGTTACGTTGTCTTCGTTTTGTTGCCCTTTTCTTTTCCTTTATAGTTTTAGCCTGCTGTAAACCCGATGGACCTGCTTCTGCAAGGTCAGTGGCACAGATTGATTTTCCAGGTGGCACATTAAGTTTCTTTTTCCTAATTGTTTTCGGTTCTGGGCACGCCTCAGCTCGGTACTGCACCAATGTATGCATAAAAGAGTTCCCTATAAGACCTGCGTTTATTATTCGATCTTGTTTGGGTAATCTAGGTAAAGGCTCCTCTTTGTCAATGG